CTTACAAAGGAGCAAGACATACAAACTTTGTGCTTGTGTGCTTTGTGTGTTTTAGTTAAGCAATACAAGATTATGTAAGCATAAAATGAATTTATGTGTGTGTGTGTGTGTGTGTGTGTGTGTGTGTGTATGTTTGAAGACTTGGGTTTACTGGAAACAAGTTGCAAAAACACTTCACATCATTGAATTTTACTTGTCAGCAAAATGTTGCGTATTTACACATCAAGAAGTTACAACATTATCATTCATTTGGAGTCATATTTCTGTCCCCCTGATGAGTTTTAGTCCAACAGTCACTCTCTTTACCACTGACATTAGTCTCCTGAGGAAAATGTCTGCCTGTTTATCAACTACTAAATGCTCCACTATGTTCACCAGTTAGTTTTTAACATTTCAAAAGCACATGCCCCGTGCACAGCACTGTCAGCCCTTATAACTTGGTGCAGGTGATGGCAGGAAACATCGGGTTGATAAATAAGTAGATGCACCACACACAAGGGGGCTGAATTGCTTCCTCTTGTAATTTAATCTTCATTTGAAAAGTTACGATCAACATCTTTCGCCCATGGCTTCATCAGGTTTGCTATTACAATACAATACACAGGTGTTTTTTTCAAGGCTACAGCTGCACTGAATCCAATCAGCAGCAGGGTGGGTAATGTCCTGAGTAGACTCCATATATGGTCATGTGTACACATCTATCATTTCATCATGTCAACAAGTGATAGGTGTGTAGACATGACCATATATGGAGTCTTTTCAGCACATTATCCACCCTGCTGCTGATTGGATTCAGTGTTGTTAAAAAAACCTGTGTATTGTAGTGTTTTGTGCAACAAACATGATGAAGCCATGAGCAAGATGTGTTGTTTGTGACATTTTGAATGAAGATTAGATTAAAAGAAGAAGCAGTTCAGCCATCTTGTGTGTGGTTTATTTAGTCTGTAACTGTGTCTGTCTGCTGCTGGGTGCTGAGCAGGTAGCGTACACGGGGGGGGGTTTACAGCTTCTTGTCTGAAATAGCTGAATGCCGAGGCTTTGAACAACACTATGTGGTGAGAATAAACCAGAACAATAAAGTTGCAGAGCGACAGTTAAACCACGAGCTACACTGTGATGCTATGTAATGCTGAAGGGACCTGCTAATTCATCAGCCACCCCCTTTTACATAGTGACATTGTTTTCATATTGTCATTTTATGCACTGTTATTGTAAAAATATTGATTATAGCCATTTAAAGTTATTAAAGTTTTTATTTATTAGTCTTCTCTGAGGTCTTAACCACTATTAGCATGCTCAAGCAGAGGTTTAAAGAGTGGGTTCCCATTTTGTAACTGTGTCTGGCACGCACACAGACGTGCACACACAGTAGGATACACAGTTCTTTTAGTGGTTTCACACCATCCCACAACACGACACTTAAAGGGCTGTTGTGGGGCCTTTGAGTCCAAAGTCAACCTCGTTGTTTATTGAGCATTATACAACAGTTCAGAAAGCAATCCCACCTCTTTGACTTAGACCTCACCTCTCAGCAGTACACCAAATAAAGTAGCACAACAATAATAGTATTAATTATAAAACTATATATTTATAGGGATATGAATCACGTTGTTTCAGAAGTTCTAGTGTCATGTATTTGCAACTTAAGTTTAAAGGTCAGAAACCGGATGAGACAGCTCCCACAGACATTTATAGTTCACCCACCCTGGACAGCTGCTGGAAGTAATGTGCTAACAGTGTTGCAATGCAGCGTGCGTAGCAATCAAGCATAAATGCAAACAATCCAGGTTTCTCCCAAGAAACACTTTCACAAATGTTATATGATGAAGCAAAAGCATTAAACACTTTATTCAAAGACACACAATATGTTCTGGTGAGAAACAGTGGATGTAATTTCATTGACACAAGTCTCCACAGGTCACATGAGGCTGTGGTAGTCTTTGTGTCCACATATCAGTTTCCCTGGGCCAGACACTGAACCATAAATTGCTCCTGATGATTACACATGGTTGTTCAGTGCTATCTTTACACGAGTGTGTGTGAGTTTGTGAATGGGAGTGAAACTGTGAAGTGCTTTGCATACAAGCTCAATATTAATGCCATCCATTTACCTTTAAGAGCTTAAAAATAACCCAACAAGTTTAATAAGTAAATAACATACATTGCTACAGCACATACAAAACCTAAATCTTTACTTTTCAGTTGTAGAATTAAACTAATCTACAAAACATTAGCTAAGATGTACAGTAGCTGGTTTCCTCCATTATTTTGTCTGTCTTTGATTTATGAGTGTGTCTCTCACACACTGATGCAGTCACTCTTGTCAGAGAGCAGATCCTCGGGGTCAGCTGACTGCAGAGGTGAGTAGACGTTGCACGCGGTGGCTTTAAGCGCATCATTGCAGGACCACTCCCTCTCCTTCACCATCTCAATCGACAGCTCTATCTGCTTCTTCACTGGCTTGGACGACAGACATCTCTGAGCCCGACAGGAGTCAGGAGAGGTGTCAGATTTGGAGTGGAGCGCATCCGGCTCCAGGTCTGAGTTTGGATGACTCTGGCCCTCTGTGGCCTCCCTCTCCAGTGTGCACATGGTTAGAAACTGGCGGCTTGTGGTCTTGACGTTTGGTCTGTGTCTGGGGCCGTACACCGTGCAGGGCATGGGTCTGGCCTTGAAGGCTTGTCGCTCCTCTTTCGGCCCCAGCTTCCCCAGCTCTGCCACAATCTTCGCTTCCTTCTTCCTCCTCTCTCTCTCCAGGAAATGGAACGGCTGTGGTGAAGCAGAAGCAGAGGTTTGGTTACGTCTGGCGTCACGGGTATTACTGCAGCTTCTGCTTCGGTTTGATCGCTGACCGGTGCGACGGCTGATAATTTCATAGAGAGGCAGATGTATGTGCGCAGGTGCCGGTGATGCCCTGAACTTTTTCTGGCATTCCTGGAGCTCCTCCAGCTCCCGTCTCAGCAGCATGTTCTCCAGCTCGATCTCTGAGCGAGTCCGCACCTTGTGTCTCTTCCTCTCCTCCTCTCTCAGCATCATTTGGAACGGTTTGGGCACAGTGACCTTGGAGTTTGACCTGACCCCAGTTTGGCGGGGCAGTCTTCCCCGTGGTTTGGGACAGGAGACCTTGGGCTGGAATCGAAACTGCTTCTGGGTCGTCATTTCTTCAGGGCTCAGCAGGAAGTCTCTGGGAGAAAATACAAGAGAATGAAATGTGACAACAAAGTATCAACAACAAAGCTTCAATAGTTAACTTCCTTTCTGTCTTTCCATCTGGGCTTCAACTCCAAGAACCGCTATTTAAGAGCATGTCTGCTATGACTTCACCAACCTCCCAAAGGTTCGGTCCTGGCCAGAATTCCTTCTTGGATTGTCCAGCTCCAGTTCCCCCATGCTATCAGCACAGAGCTCTGATTGGTCGGAACTGCTTGATGTGTCATGGAAGTCCAGCTCCTCCTGGGAATTGATCCTCTGGAGTTTTCTGGCAGGGCCACTGCTGCTGCTCGGTGCAGAAATGATATATGAGGGATGGCAAAGGTGAAAGTCTATCCACCACCCCTCCCACTCGCCGCCTTAACTTTTGTCCTTGTCCCACTGTGTTTCCCCCTGACGCCATCGAGCGCTGTTAAACTATAACCGCGACCAGCTGTGTATCATGCCTACGTTAAAGGACGGCTTTTTTCGTTAGTGTCTGATGCTGTGCGTCACTGCCCAAGCGCCGAATTTCAATGACTTCAGAGTGAGACCAGGTTGCCAGCTGCAGAAAAAATACAACTTCTATATTATATCTAATCTGGAAAAAGTAGATGAATGTAGCTGAATATGATCACCGATCTTGACCTTTGACCTTTTTAAACTCTGTAATACAGTCACTGCATTCAGTGGAAGACAAGCCGTCCAAACAAACTTTGATATTGCTGTCTGTATGCATGTATGGCCCTCGACAAAACAGCCACCATGTGGAAAAAGATAAAGAATTATGCATTGTGGTCAGTGATTTCTCTTGAAACACCCTTACTCGTGATGAAAGCATGAGACTACAGCTAATGAATAGGAGAAGTGAGTTTGTGGGTTACTGTTTTAGCCTGCCAGGGTTACTGTCATCACGAGACAACATACACTATGAATCACATCACACACTAGTTTTGGAAATTACCTGAAAACACATTCTAAATCCACTTTTACGCCATGACAGGAAACTGCCAAGTAAGCATGGTTTCTGTAATTTGAAGGTGAAAACCGGCTGAACATTGAGGTGAACAGTGGGTTGAATTTGTTTTAAGTCATCATAGAAGCAAATTCAGTGGCTTTATTTCAGTGTGAAGCAGATCTTCTAATACAGTGGTTCCCAACTGGTGGGTCACTTAATAATGACAGCAAATTAGCTCCACAACATGGCCAAATGCAAGTATGACGCTGAATGTGTTAAACTGTTCGGACCTTGGACTAATGACTAATGACTAAGGAGAAATCTGGACCTCGTGACTGGACCAGGTGGGAACCACAGCTCTGATACATTTAGCTGTTAAGTTAAAATAAGATGTCATATTAAAACACATTCCTATTCCCTTGCTTATAATGCTGATTGTCTACAGGATTCATTCATTATTGTGGGCTTTAGACAGTCTTGCAGTTGGTTTATATGCATGTGAGGATTGCTTTCCATGTTTCTTGTGTGCCATGTGTATCTGTTTTATTGTTACACCTGACCTTTAATCTGCTTCATGTAAAAGTTTCTGTTGAAATCCTGTTGAAACTGGAGTCATATGTTGCAGATAGACACATTAAAAAAAGTTGTCGCCTATTTATATTCATTATTTATTACGGAATTCAGCCTAATTTTAGGCTAGTTTAGGTTATAGTAGTTTAGTTTCAGCTATCATGTCTATTGAAAAGCAGCACAAATAGAGCATGTATGTCCCTGTCCCTGTTGGTTAATGTCTCATAGGACTCATATCCAACCTGATTGACGGCCTTTCCTCTCTGCTCTGTCTTCTCCCCAGACCAGCGTCATCCTCCTCTCCGTACCTCTCTTTGCCCTGGCTGATGTACATCCTCTCCAGCTCGGCCATGTTCCTCAGGTGAGCAGCCTTCAGCTCCTCCAGCCTCCTGTAGTACTCCTGGTTGGAGAAGTAAACGTGCTGCTCCCTCTGCAGACCGTAGATCTCCAGGGACAGAGACCTGCGAACGCATCTGCCACCTTGTCTGTCCTCGCTGCACTCTGAGTCCTGATCGTACTCCTGAAGGGTGGAACATAGTGCTGTTTGATAAATGCATCAGGGTCATAATGTTTCATAATGTAAAAGCACTTTGCTGTTTGATTATCAGTAAAGTATTTCTGATAATGTCTCTTTTTACTGTGGTAAACATTTATATACTAACAGACTTACTGTATTTTAATTTTTCTCAGATTAGGTGTTGCAAAAGCACTGATGATGGGAAAGGTAATGAATCTTTGTAGATGGTTCAAACAAACTTTTAAAAAGGTCAGCAATTTTACAAAAAGTCATAATGTGGTTTTTACTCAGGATGCACTGCAAGCACTGCACATTTTTATGCAACAACTGTGGTCACATTTCAGAGCTAAAGATTTTTAAAAACCTGGGTTGAAGGATGTGGGGTGACAGAAGGCACTCGGCTACAGTAGGTGATTTCCGTCTTTATACATCTAAAAATAAAACGTGGCGTTCAAATCTTCCTTTAAATCTATCCATAGCATGCATGTTCAGTGTCTCAATAATCGATATGAATATAATACAACTCCACACACTGAAGAATTTGAAGATGTTTTACTTCAGCTACGTTAACTTGAAATGTGTATTAATTTTGAAGGCTAGTAGGCTTTCCACATTTTGCAGGCAGTTTTAAATGTAGTTTATTATCTTTAGAGCAGACGCACTGTGCATCCTTAAATCCTCACCTCACTGGTGCAGTCCTCATCTCTGACAAAGTAATCGTCTCTCTCGTCTCCGTACAGAGCCATTAATTCCTTGTTTTCCAGAGAAGTTGATCGGTACATCGCTGCCATCTTCTTCCTTGTTCTCTATAAAACAGCAACTTTACAACCAGTCTGAAGCAAAGCAGAGCAAAGCTACTGTGTGTCCTCTGTCACCTCGGTTTGCACACTGACCTGCTAAGCAAGTCAGAGCAGGACACAAACAAAGATTAGCACACACTTTACTGTACTGACAAACACACACACACAGAAAGACTGAAAGCTTTATCCTCTTATCATCGGGAGGAGTCGTGATTTAACAGTTGTCAGGGATGCCTTTGGCCAGATGGTCCATATGGTCGAGTGGCTTTTCACTTGATTCAAAGTCAGATAGATGTCTGTGTGGATGTTCCCAATCTGATTTACAGATTAACTTTCTTAAATACAGCACGAGTGCTGATATAAAGCATTGTGCACCTGCTGTGGTTTGCAGAAAGGTCTGCAGGAGGGAAGGTGAAGATGTGAGAAGACTCCACAGGGGTGACTTACAGTATACATGACATGATATACTAACTATTGCATTAGGCTTTATGAAACATCTGGCACAAGTAAAGTCTTAGGGAGGAAATTTGGTATTTCTCTAGCTGAGGTTAGATATGTTGTTTTCAATCACGTGTCTCCCTTTTTTTATCTGTCAGAGATGATACACAGAAACACTTGTGTTGTACCAGATACAGCAACTTGTTTCTATCTGCAGCACCTGGGCAGTGTTGGGAATAGAATGATTTTATGTGTTTTACTATAAGTTGTGTTTCACTATATAAGTTTTAGATGTGTGAACAATGAGAATACTGAGATGATTTCAGCTGATCTGAATGTGTTTGCTCTGCAGAAGTGGAGAAGTACAGGAGAGGAAGAGACATGAGGTCTGAGGAGCACATACCGCAATGCTTAGATAATTAGTTTCATATATGGTAAAAAGAATAGAAAGTGATGTACAGATAGTAAGGTACAGCATGTGTAGGGAGTTGTGTTGTTCTCTTGTCTTTCAAAACAGGAACCACGCCCCCACCGCCAGCGGGATGGAGTCAGATTAACAGGAGGCAGGGGCGTGGTGTGGTGAAGGAGGAAGTGGAACTGCCAATGAGAAGAGGACAACGCCTTGCGTGCACAATGACACTCTGTTACGCTCAAATATACTGGGTCAGGGAAAGGACAGGAGGTAAGACTTCATGAACTGACACACCTTTGTTGTTCGTCAGGGACGTGAAGTTGAGACCCAGAGCTCTGTAATTTTATTCCTTTACTGCTTAATAAACTACATTAACTGAGACCGAATATCTTCTCCTATTGCTTCATTAAAGAACATGCAGGACTGAGCTCACACATAGCACATTGGAGAGTAGGATGAGACTCTTAGTCCAACAGCAGGTAGACGAAAACACTGCAAATAAGTACAATAAATACTAAATTAAATATCAAATGACTTTTGAATTCTTGTTCCAATCATTTCCAGTTCCTCACTCCACAAGAAGCATCCCTCCTACTCCAACTCAGACCCCAACTCAATCTATTAACACACCCACACAGTTTAAGAAGCAGTCTCATTCCATTGTTATAGGCCACATAAAGTCTCTGCATATTCCTGTAGGAGCACCACAAGTGGGCAGTATATAGCTGAGTGCAAAATGCCCTAAAAAGATCTATCTTCACATAAACTGAACACATGCTAAATTTGCAAGCAAGCATATTAGCTTGGGCATGCAACTTGCAACACTGTGGTAAAAACTGTTTGTGAATCTGTTTTGATTCAGTCCCCAGTCCCCAAAAGAAATGTTGGCATTGTACTTCCCTTCAAACCACAAACACATTATAACTGTATGTTTCATACGTATCATATCAATGCTTCTCAAGTGACATAGTATATGAGCTGACTTTATCATTGAGAGGTGGAGGGAATGGTAGACAGTGTGACACCTAGGCAAGACGCCTGCCAAGTTGCAAACCACTACAGAGCACTTTTTGAGACAACAATAAAGTGGGTTTCGTACCTAAACCTACAGCACGTTAGCCGTAGCACTGCTGAAATGTAAGAAGTGCAAAGTGTGAATGTATCAGCTACATAATAACACTCAGGACTGAGTAAACACTTCTGAATGGGCTGTTTTGCAAAGGTGTTGACTGAAGACTTGTGACTTGCAAAACAATGACTTGGTTGCACCTGTTTCATTGTCATAAGTTGTGAATGTGTTTCCTGCTAGAGATGAGGCCCAAGTGTCCTGTAGGAATAATGTATTGATCATCTATCAGTGTCCACTCGCACTGTTGACCTTCTGGTCCAGTGGCTTAACTGGAAAGCTGCCACACTTTTGCCTGTAAACACTTTGGCCAAGATCAAGTGAAGCACAGGCTGGCCCCAGTTCAACTGTGAGGCTTTTTGGGGGATTTGACAAATGAAGCTGGAGAGGGAGGACACAAACCAGAGCCAACTGTGTTAATTGGTTTACTTAAGGTTCTCATCAAGTCCTCACCAACAACTTCTCTCCATCTGTCTCCTGTCTCCCATTATTCCATCTCCTGTCCATCTACCTAAGAGCCTGAGGCTGCAGCTGACAGAGACATCTGAAGGAGAAGAGACAGGGTGATATTTCAAGGTTATTAAAGCAAAATGTCACAATGTAATCTATGGCTCAGGCTACTTTTTGTGCTTATGTCCCCTTTAAATCAAGAATTTTACTATCTTACTATATAATGACGAAAACTCTGTCTGTCTGTGTGTCTGTTCCACGTTTTTCTCCTCACTGACTTGGTCAATCCATGTGAAATTTGGCACAGTGGTAGAGGGTCATGGGAGGATGTGAATGAAGCAATATTACATCAATTGGCCAAAGGGGGGCGCTATAGCAACCGATTGAAACTGCAAACTTTGAATGGGCATATCTCATGCCCCATATGTCGTAGAGACATGAAACTTTGCACAGAGATGTCTCTCCTCATGAGGAACAAATTTGCCTCAAGAACCCGTAACTTCCGGTTATATAGATTTTCCGCCATTTTGAATTTTTTGAAAAACACTTCAAATCGATCTGTTCCTAGGAAGTTTGAGCGATCTGCATGAAACTGGGTGAACATAATCTAGGGACCAATATCTAAAGTTCCCTCTTGGCAAAAGTTGGAAAACTTACTAAAACTGAGCTTCTATAAGGCAATGAATATTGCGGAGTGCGTGGCTCATCACATAAAGGTGTATAACATCTCAAGGGTTTCACTGATCACCACGCAACTTTGTAGGCATATGACCACACATAATCTGAGGGGACCCCTCCATTATTGACCCCATCAAACAAAATGGGGGCGCTAGAGAGCTAATTTCTTATCTAGGCCTAACCGCCATATGGATTTCGACTAAATTTGGTAGATATGTAGAACAGGACGCCTCAAGGTGACTGGAGAAATTTAACTCTAATTGGCAACTGGGTGGCGCTATAACAACAGAAAAATGCTTAAAAATGGCTAAAATGCGACCGATCGCTGTGGCTCCCCCTGTGGACCAATGTTTGTTGTTTTTTCTAATTTTTGGACTAAGTCATGGTATGGTATGCTGTACATAATCATGGAAACTGTCAGTGTGTCATTCTGTCAGTCAGTCATTCATTCTACCAGTGCGCCCCAGTTTTGAGTCAGTACAACATATAAACACTTTAATTTATAAAGTTTTTAGTAGTAATATCCAATATTTAAAAAGAATAAAGCAAAATAAAAACAAAAACACACATTTTCTCTCTTTTTTATGCATTTAACAGTTTTATGACCCCTCAGACTTATCTTACAGCACCATCAAGGGCCCAGTGGTGGAGGAAGTATTCAGATCCTTTACCAAAATAAAAGTACTAATATCACACTGTGAAAATATTAAAAGTAAAAGCCCTGTGTTGATAATGATACTTAAGTGACAGTAAGTAAGTATAATCAGGAAAATGTACTAGGTGTTAAAAGTAAAATTAGCCAGTGCAGATAAATCTAAATTTAATTTTCAAGTCAATTTTATTTATAAAGCCCAATATCACATATCACAATTTGCCTCAGAGAGCTTTACTGCACACAACATCACCCCTGGTCAGGCCTGACCAAAATTGGGAATCACTGCTTTATGGGAATCCCATACAAATGTTAGTTTAATATGTAATTCGAGGTCACTATAAAGTCATTATATAACTTTGAAGGAATGTTATAAAAATACCACAGTAGGAGGAGGGGAAGCTGCACGCTTATAACACAAGTAATCTTATAATTCAGAATTCTTTACATTAATATCTGGTTCCTGTGGTGTGGATATGTTCATGTTGGGGGCCTTTCTTTGCTATTTAAACATTACTACATCCTTAATGTACGATATGCAAGTCAAAATAT